AAAAAAAAAAAAATCGTCAGCGCGACGGTTTATATGTCGAAAAGTTCGCGTCAACCCTAAGGTACCACCGCACGTCCGTCACTTGGCATCAAAGTCCGGTTTGAGAGCACGTTGGGTTGTTTTCGTGTTGTACTCCTCACAACGGTAACTTCTTTTTCCCAATGTTCAATATTCTTGAAAACAAAAAGGCCATCCTCTGCGTAATCGGGGGACAAGAGGCATTCAAACCTATAATCTTAAAGTTACGACATGGGCCAAGTCTTCTCCATGTCTCATGTCTTGTAAGTTGTAACTGGCAAAAACAAGCCGTGTTGAAGCTGCAATAGTTAAGTGGGGCCAAAGTAGCAACTGAACTTGTAACGATCATGTCGAGTGTTCACAGTTGTCAACACCATAAATGCCACCTAAGTGTCATCCAAGGACCCGTGATAGAAATCAAGACGGGATCCTCACGTTACATTGGACTAAACGAGCATCGGCACGGTATTCTTCTCCGATTTTTACGGCAATATTCTGCTCTCTTATCTCCACGTGCAGCCTCCTGTGCGCGAGGGGCCAGTGACACGTAGCGCCAGCAGAGCCGCTTCCCTCCACTCTCTGTCGGACGCCTCCTCCGATTCCTTCAGTCACTCTCCGGGTGAGCGGCTCGCTCTATGAAAACGTCCCTCAAGATCAACATTGGCCGCTGGGTGTAATAAGTCAAAGAGACCTTCCAGTACGGTTGCCTTTAGAAGCAAATGTTATGTTTAAAAAGTTACATAAATCAGAAGAACATGTGAGCCTGCGCTTGTACGGCCATGACAGAATCAGTTTGGAAAAAGAGCAGTATTTATAATTGACTCGAGCCAGCTATTTTTTTCCCCCCTCTTATTTCATTGGCTTATATAATTTGTTTGTGCTGCTTTACTGAGAATGCAAAGGCGATCCTTTGAAGGCCTCGCACCCTGCAGACGCTTGACGCCCGCTTATAAACATGAGTTCGTTAATGCATCTGTCACTAATGCGGTGCACACGGCGAGAGGCACGGTCACACAGCCTCCACGCGGCGCCAGCAAATGACTGAAAATAACCCCGGTGATGTTGAAGGGCTTCACGTGTTTTCAAGGCTGTCATCCAAGCTTTCATCCCCTTTGCACTCGCGGTTCCACAAGTTCTGCTGTCCGTTCGCTTAGCTTGAAATATTTGTATTTATCGAAGACGTATATTATTCTTATTATGATATATGTATTTTTGTTTTTTGGGCTGCAGAATCGGTCGACACCAAAATGAACTTAAACAACTTGATGATGATGTATCAGGAGCAGGGCAGTAGCCCTGATTCCAGTGAAGAGGAAGCCTCCAGTTTCTCCATGCTGCCCCACCTGGCCGACCTGGTGTCCTACAGCATTCAGAAGGTCATTGGCTTTGCCAAGATGATCCCGGGCTTCAGGTACCGTCTTCGTTCACCTGTCACGCTGTCGATGTTTCATTTTCACCAGAGTGCAATGTTAAAAAAACAACCAGATACGATCAGTGCGCGGGTAGCACGGCGCTAACCCGTCAGAGTCGTTTTAATGCAACATACAATACTTTTTTACTGTGTACCATTTTTATGCTGTTCGATTAGGCTTCAGTCTGCCCGCTCCTTATATTTGGAGTCATTTTATTGCTTGTGCCATCTATTTTGTTTTGGTTTGTCGGAAAGGCGCCTCGGGTGCCGGCACATCACAGTTTGGCCAATTGAACCGGTGAAACGGTACCACATGATCACACACTAATCCTCCATGGCCCAGCACGCGCAGAAGCTAAGTTTTTAAAGTGACTAATTGGACGCGAAGCGTAGCAGAAGCGCCGACAAAAGAGGCACAACATCCCTGGCCTTACGTTCCATCTACTTCTACCTTACGGATTACAAAAAAA